TTAAGTTAATTTGAGGCTTAATAGGAAAAAGTCATTTTTGTAGTAATAAGAAAAGGACAACCTTTCTTCTGGTACATCACCTTTGTTCATCCTGCTCTTTCTGCCCACAGATTTCACTTCAAGCTTCTCTTCTAGGCAACCAAGGAGAAAAAATGGATTTCTAATCTGTGATTAACAAAATTTAGCTCAATATGTACAAGAGTTTGCATATATTTTCACTCTTTAAGGAAAACCTTGAAACCAGCTAAAGAGGTCATCGAGCTCAATGTTTACACATTCTCTCGGTATATTTATGCATAGAAGAAATGGTGCTAGGTTATTAAGAAGAGCTGTTCTTGGAGGCAATTGTTAAGCTAAACTGCACTTCACTTTGCTTGGATAACATCCGCTTTCACCTCTCTTCTCTCTTTCAAATGTGTGTTGGGAGTTGTATGGTGTAGTACTCACTAAATTATTTCATGAAATAAAAATAACAATTTAAAAGCTTTTAAAAAAATAATTGATAAAAATGTGTCTCTTTCTTAAATTCTTGCTTTTTTTCACAATAATTCTGAAAACCAAATATTTTATTTCAATTTCCTCTGCAGAGAAATTTCATAGGAATTCAGCTGATCTTTTTGGCAATGAAATTTTTTTAAATTTTTTTTTTTTTTTTGAGATAGAGTATGCATATGCATTCTGTCCAGTGCAACTTAAATTTTCTTAGATACTTTGAGTTTACAGATAGGAGATTGGGAATCAAATGTCTTGATGAAGCAACTTGGAGTAAGTTAAATCTTTATCCCAGAGTGGATAATACATATTATCCTACATGCACTCTCTGTGAAGACAAAAAAGGAGCAGAGATCCTATGTCATCAGTAAGAAAACACCATATTTTTGTCTAAAGGCAGATTTCAGACATACCTTCTACCTATTAAAAACTAAAACTGTTTATTCATGCCCCTGGTCCTGCTTTTGGCTCTGAGATGAAATACCACGACTGGCAGCTGCACTGCAAAGTTTCCATGAAAAACAGTCTCAGAAAGGGGATTGCTTTGGATCATCCCTCCACTGTCCCATCATCCTGCTGCTCCAGACACCCCTTGGCTATCCTGCAATCCCTGGAGAAGACTCATGGATCTATAGTGGAGAAAGCTTTATTATGACTATCTGATGGGTGGCAGTGAGGACCATGGCCTAGATGACTCACTAATCCTTTAACAAAAGATTTATGTCTCAAACACAACCACAAGCACAAGCAATGCATCTGAAGTGATTTACTAGCAGTGTGTAAAGTGACAGCAACTAATTAAAATGAGAAGTACAATCCTGAAAGCGTGCCAATGGTTTCTACTAACATATATCAGGTATACAATCACAGGTAGCCACAGGGAACACGCAGAGCGAGCACACCAAGGCACAGCCACGTGTGGAAGATGGAAAAATGGAAAACATTCCCACCTCCACACAGGCAATCGGGGTGGAACCAAGTTTTTTAAGTTGAGCACAAAATCCACCTTTCAGCAAGGGGTTTAGTACAGGGAGGCTCCCCAAACAGCAATGTTAGTGTGCCTTTGCTCAGTTCTCCTCCCAACACAGGGCAGAGTAACATGAGGTGATGATAACTTGTTGTTATCTCAATGAGAACTCGAGTTTGGCTTCAGTTCACAGCAAACCTGTTCATAAGCTGCCTGATTGTACTGTATTACAGACCAAGGTATTATCTCAGCCATATGACTCAGAGCACTTAAATAGATAATCATTTCTTTGTGACAGAATCTCACCTACACTGATGTAGAGGTTAAATGCACGAGCCACGGCATAAAGAATCCTGTCATTAACCGCAATAATTACAAGCCACAGATCAACCCAGACCCTGAAAGGAGCTGCGAACACCTTTACACTCAGTTCTCTTACAAAGGACAGAGAAACAGGAACCACCAGATGAAAACTGTTGGAACAGCTATGTCAATCCCAATGACACAAAGTTCAAATCATGCAGAACGATTATGGTGTTATCAGACACAATATTGTGTTATCAGAGTGTTGAAATGCTTTAAATTCTGTCACCAAAAATCTGTTTTGCCACAGGTTTGCCTGCATACAGAATGATTTGGTTTAAGATGTTCCTTGAGTCGCATGGACCTGCAACCTACCTTTGAGAATTCAGCATAGCTATATCAACAGAGGTTCATAAAACTCAGGCCAAAAATAGCAATGCTGATAAGAAAAAAATATATGTTTTTTTTTTAAATGTGTTTCCCTTTTCAAACACAGTCTGTGAAGGCACATATTTGTCCTTCATAAATAATTTGGGAGGCTGAAACATGAGGAGGAAGAAATACTTCTGAAATCAGAAAAAAATCACCATATGGAAGAAAAAAATAAGATAATTGCCTGTAAGGGGAATGTCTTTAATTTCTGTAGCAGTGAAGTTCCTAACAGGATGGAATAAAAGTCAGAGGATCTTTGATCTGTTTATGAAAAGGATGGGGTGATATTGCTGAGACCAGAACAGAGAGCTTGATGACACCTAGCAGGTCTGTCCAGCTGATGTTAAAATAAACCAACTTAAAAAAAATACAGACTACTCTTTTAAAAGAAACAGAAGGAAAAAAAACATGTCAAACAAATTGTTCATGAATAAATAAAATATTCTGCAGATGAGTAATTTAAATCCTGTATAATCCAGGCTGACCTAGCACTTTCATTTTGAAATGAGTGTGTTCAGCTTTAGAAGGAAAACCTTCAGCACATTTTGGGCCAAACACAAAATTCTTGGTATTTTCTACTTCTTGTAACACTGATCCTCGGTGTTTTCAGGATATGCTGGTACCATATTTTCCGCAGTTCATTTTGGTTTATGTTCACATTATCAAATACCTGTCCTTCAGGTAAAATTTTGTCACTGGTTATTTTATTCATGACAAAGTCCTTTCATCTGCCCAGAAACACTGAAGTCACACTGATGTCCAGTAAAACCAGTGGATGTGGCTGCTCATTGATATTTCTCCACCTTGACTAAATTATTTCAGTATTCTACATAATAGTTGCAAACATTAAGTCCCTTGAAAACTATCTGAAAGGAATGTTCATTTATTTAGGTGGGTCTTTTCACAGTGCATTAGCTTGCAGGGGTTATTGAGGGTGTGATGCTTAAAAATAAGAATAACTGCATGAAAATATCAACTGTTGACTAATCATTAACACCTTTTCAGGCAAAGTTTATGCCAACAGTAAACTGGGATCATAATCATGTGCTCAAACACATCTTCACAATATATTACATGTTTCAGCAGAACCTAAGGAAGTAATAAAGTACCTAAAAGTGCTTCCATTCTCTGTCATTGGCTCAAAACCACTGCCTACAATTGAACTATCTGCTATGTACATTCTTCTCTTCTTTGCCTTCTCAGTCTCAGGAAAAAAAAAAAAAAAAAAAAAAACTCACCAAAAAAACCCAACCAAATAAACAAAAAAACCCACCAACCAAACCAAAAAACCCAAAAAAATGTAATTTCTGGACCAAAAATACCTTTCTTTTCCAAACTTCAAACTTCTCAAATTTGTCCATGAGCCACAAGTGCTCAATTTCATGTTAAACACCAACCTATGTGCTTAAAATAAAATACGGTTTAAGGTCAACAAGGTGTCATTCAGATGCATTCCAATATCTTTCAGCATAGCAGGGGTTCAACCTATTTAAGCTTAAAGTGGATTTGTTCAAATGGCTAAAAATTATCAGCATCACAGCATTACTCACCAGTGCCTGAAAAGTACAATTCTTTTTCCTTCAGAGCTTGTTGTTGTCATTGAAGCCTAAGGTTCATTAAAGAGTGGTCCTAGTTTCCAGGTGTTTTTAAAAATTGCGCTCACAGAATTTGCATTATTCTTCAGAAAAGTTCCTACTTAATTGAGTCATCTCATACTTGGGCCCTCTGGCCCCCACTTGGTAATATTTTAAAGCAAATATGTGTTGAAGAAAAGGTTCACCAAGTCATTTCCTTGGTAACATAATTTCTAATGATTCATATAATCATGCATATCCTTTTAAATATATTCTGAGCAATAAACCATGATTGAAATTAAGTAAAATATGCTCTTAAGGTTGATTTAATCTCTTTTACTAAATAACCATTAAAAATAAAATTCTCTCCCAGGATGCTCAAGTCAAAATGACAAACATGATAATAAACATTTGGCAATAAAAATAAATTAAAAATCAAAGCTTTATGATATATCTTCCTATCAAAATGAAAGTGGCAAATTGAAAACAATAACGATTCTCATCCACAGTTACAGTTCCAACAGAACACTTCAGAGTTTGATTTACAATTAGTAGCAGCTTGAAAATGAGCTGTAATTTTACATTTTAAGCTGCTACTGCTCAATCCATCAAGTATTAAAATCTTGATGTTGATTGATGGCGCTCTCTCACGCTGTTTCTCTTGATGAAGCCACACAGAAACTGAAGCAGCAATATTCACCATGTTAGGAGTTTGCATGCCTCCCCCATGCCCAGTTCAGTTGTTATTACTGTCTTTATATGCACCAGGGATGTTTTTGGTGGTTTGAGAAATTTTAGTATCTTCACCAGGATACAAGGATAGGACACACACTTCAGTGGCTTTCAGACTGATATTGGTCCATATTTCCAGCAGCTGGAAGGAGTGGCCTGAATACAATCACTATCAATTTTCCAGCTGCCATGCTGCTTCTGAAGAAACTGCAGTGACCAAGTGATAAAATTTGGTTTTCTTACGGGAGCTTCACTGCCAAGAAAGGGGTCAGGGAGTAAGATCCCTTGGAATTTTTAGCCCTGGTGCAAGGTGAAAGGATAAGACCAGCAGAATTCTGTCTGGTCCAAGCATTTTCCCTAGTGGCAATTCAGGTTTGCTCCTCCTGCTCAGTTTGTCTCAGGTTTTGAGGTTTCACATCCCATCAAAACTGCTGCTGCACGGGATTATACAAACCCTGCATGTTTTATTCACACTGAGCCACCTGCTTTTAGTATCATACCTTGTAATGGCCACAGGACTGGAGGAGCCTAAACTGCCTTTCCTTCCTTTTCCACTTATTGCTATTCGCTCCCATCTGGGTTTGTACAGCGGCAAAAAGAACCTAGAAATTAGAAAATATGCACATCCTGAAAATAGCACCTGTAACATCAGTTCGGACCATAAGCAATGCAGTTTCCTTTAATTTGCAGAAAAACAGTGAACCATAAACCTTTTTTACTGCTATTTCTTTTAAATGTGGATATCACTGAGAACATTTGCAGCTTGGATATTTTGAAAAACACCCAGGCCAGTTCGTAAACTTTTGACCTGTGGGATGACTAGGACTAAAAACTTTCTTCCATGAATATTTTCAGGAATTTTTAATTCATAACAGGCACAGACTCTCCAAGTTAAATAACCAGAATAAAAAATTTTAAAAAATAAAAAAGCACTTATATCACCATAGTTGTGGGCTGTTTCATACATTCATTCTTTAATACTAAACAGCATCTAGGTGCTAATCTCTCCTAAAAAAAGACACAGTTATTTGAATTGGAAAAAACACATGATTTTTGCCATATGTAATATTGTGTAAAACCAAACTTCATGTGGAATATTTAATAATATTTTATACTTTTAATAAAATTTAAATGCATTTAATGATAGTCAAAAATCCCATTCCATCTTAAATATTATTTACTCATTTGAAGTGGCATTCCTAGACTATAAAAATAATTAAATTATAAAACCAAATTAGTAAATATTACACAAGCTGTTATACAATCTGACAAATTGATTTTGTGAATTATATTGTGACTGGATTAATTAGTATAAAATAAACAATGAAACTGTCTGTTAATGGCTCTGGAAAGAAACTGATTTTATTATATTTTCAGCCAGTTCCAAATCTTCAAGAAATGTGAGCATCACCTTCAGTGGATGGATGATGAGATCTTTAGTGCTTTGAAAATGGCTCTTGTAAAAACTTTCAAAGGAGTGATCCAGGTCTTAAAGTGGGAATATGGAATGGCTGTGACTAAACAAGCAAGAAAACACCTTCGGGACTTAAATTGGCTACACCCTTTCGTTTGAAGTGACAAGGCCTGTCATTACCAAGAAAAATTTTGCTTCTCCAGCACAACAGAGACACCAACAATGCATTCTCCCTTTTTCTTCCCTCCTGTTATTTCCTTTTCATGGATAATTGATTTCACACGTTTCTGAGGAGCCCGAGTTGAAAGCCGTTTGTTTCCCCAACAACACGCCCAGCCCTGCACACCTCTGATGAAAGAATTCCACATCCCCAACCACTGCTTTATCTCTAGCAAGTTTTTCTTTCAGGATCATGTTTCCTAATATTAGGATTTCTTTGTGCTGCTTCAGGGTAGATACCGATCTATATACATATATTGTTTTCCTCCTTTAATTTATCAACATTTCTTAATATTTCTCAAAGAAACAAAAAAGAAAATTAATTTCTTTTTTCTTAATTTCTAGAAAAATTCTTATTTGCAGCACGCACACAGAAGTTACATAGAGTCCTGTAAGGCCCCAGAACTCACACTATGAGACTTTTCACTCTGTATAAGATTCCAATTTACATTCCTGACCCATGATTAAACATTTCATTAATGTCTCACTCCTCATTCATGGGAGGAAGATTTTTTTTTGCTAGCAGTTGTGATCAGGTGAAAATGTTTCTTGTACAAATCATGAACATCATTAACCTAAACTGTCAGTTCCTGGCAAAACTTGAACAAAGAAAGTTTTTCTTCAAATTTGGTCCATAAAACTGAAACGGGACTGGACTACCTGTTCCTTGCAAGGATATATCATTTGAATTCCAGTCTCTTGCTTTTAGTTACACTATTTTCAACTCTCATTCTTCTCTAATTCAAAGTCAATTGTGTTTTCTGGCAGGCATAAATTGCTTTTCCCCTCTGAAGTGGCTTATACTTAAGTACAAAAAGTGATTGTTCATTTGGTTTGAAAATGAGATCATTGTCTCCATGTCCTGACAATAGAATAACTTGTGCAAATAACACATTTTTATAAGCTACAAAAGTTAATCAGATGGACTCTTGAAGTTCTTATGGACTATTAAAATTTGTGTCTTGTGTCCTGTTTCCCACCTCCTCCTCTCAGTGAAGAAGAATTTGGTTCTTCCCCTTGGCATAAATAAGATTCTCCCTTCCACCAGGATCTCTTGTTCCCCCTACATCTCCTGATGTGCAAATGCTGCAAGCACACCAATAGAAACAAAAAGAGCTGAAAAAAACCCTATTAAAATAATGTTTGTAACAAAGACTAGTAAATTTGGTGTTACAAAAAAAGCCTATTTTACTTACCAGCTGCTAAATAACTAGAGATACCTACAAAGCTACCCTACAGCTTATATTTTTATGTGTCCTGTTGGAAATTACTGGCATTTTTCCAGAGCTTTCTGACATTTTAACGGCAGACAACTTTTCATATCCTTTTGCATGTTCTAAGTCAAACCAAGGGCTGAAGGTGTATTCAAAAGATCTCTTTTCAGCTCTTTGAAATTACTAGTCTGAGCTAAAATGAGTGTTCTATCAACAACCTGGTTTTTAATAGTAATTTCGAAATATAATTTAAGCGATTAATTTCAGCCTGTCCTTTTTTCTTTCTCTGTGCCCTGTTCTTTCTTTAAATCTGCCACCCATTCTATCTCAAAAGCTGAAAATTAACTGAGAGACTATTGCTTAAAAACAGTAATAATTGTGTAGTTTACATTTAGCAGTGATTACCTTTTGCCTTCTCACAGTCAAATCAGACTGGAGTTTCTTTCTTGTCAATGCTTGCTCCTTCTGAAAACCTGCATTTCCAGCTGTGAAATAACAAATAACCAATCTTCCCCTTCTCTATCTCCTGAATTTTCCAGGACTTTCAGACGTGAAAATTAAATATTGTATATCTGCAGACTCTCATAAAGGGTGTTTTTTTGGTTTTGGTGTTTTGTTTTTTTTTTTTTTTTAGTGTCTAGTTGTGGAGAGTTTAATGTCAGCATAAGTATGGAGGGGAGAGGAAGGGAGCAGATAAACTGTGGAAAGAGATCAGTTCTGAACAACTCTAATGTTCAATAATCTTCTAGTTTTGCAAGTAATATTAAAATCTTCAATACCTAGATTAATATAAAACACCCCTGATTAGCTTGAAAAATACATTGGTCTAATTTTTAACACATTCTTACCTTCCATTATGTATTCATTCAGAGTTGGTGATGTCTGCTGCAATCACCTGTGTGTTCTCCCATGTACTGTCCTCATATCCATCACTCCCAAAAGACACACATCCTCTTCCTTTTCATCCCCTTTAAGTTTCTACTTTTTTTTTTTTAGGAAGGTCCAAGTGAGAGTATTTAGCTGTGAAAGCTGCTGCATTTTAATACACAAAAATCAGCCTCCAAGATCAGGCAATGATGCATCTGTAATTATTTTTTATAAAAATAAGTATTTAATACCCAGCTTAGAAATGCAACAAGATTTCTGATTCTTGAGCTTTAAAAGTTTTTGTTTGTTTATTTGGTTGTTTTTTTTTTTTTTTCCCATCCCCCAGTATTTTCTAATTGTATGTATTGTAATAGTGTACAGTGTTTCCTAACTGGTAAAATGAAGTTTGATTTAGGAAAGTTCTTTCAGGAGGTGATCCTCAAATAACTAAAATCCTTAAGGGCCTAATCCTGCATTTATAAAAGAATGGTGTCCATATATTTTTTACCTGCTTTTTAAGTAAATTTTTTAACAAGAAAAACTGCCTACAAAGTAAGAAAACTCCCTGTAAATTTTCATCATCCCTCATTTTAACTGTTGCTTAAGGTATCTTTGAGGAATTAATAGGAACCGCTGTCAGTAACAGAAATATCGGTTGTATAAATAAAACTCAATTTTGCTTCCAGGAGATGAAAATGAAAATAAAACCTGTTCCTTTCAAAGAAATTGTTATGTTTTAGTGTGCAAAGATGTAACCTCCAGAGCCACTGCTGTGAATCTTGTTTTGTCCAAAAAGGAGCTAATCAGCTTTACATAGCGAGTGACAGCAAGTGACTGTGGGGTGTGATGATGAAATCCTGACTTTGTCTTACACTGCCCCATCAGAGCACCTGCCCACACAGGTACAGGGGCAGAGCAGCTGCATTTCCAAATCCATCACACTTCTTGGTACATAATCACCCTCCAGCCCCTGTAGCTCCAACACAACATTATTATTGCAACATTAATTACATAAACATAATGTGAGAAAAATGCTTGAATGCAATAGTTATTAGCAGATGTAAACTTCTATCTGAAATCAGCATATATTTTCATATTTATAAAAATCAAGATGTAATAATTGAATACATTTTTAATCGTGTTTGGGAGAAAAACGTGTAATTTTTCTTTATCATTTTACTTATTTCACACATAAAAATTAAATAGAAAATGAAGGATCAAGAATCATTGACTTAAAAACACTAAGCACCCAAAAAGAATCTTTTAGTGAGAATAAATTTTGAGTTGTGACTTGAGTAGGACTTGAGTGGGAAGAGGTTATTTATTTCAATAGCTAGAGAATATCCATAAGGCTCTAAGGAAGTTAATAAGGATTATAACAGTTCTCACTGTTTCTTCACACCACTTCAAAAATCTGCAAATAAAAATGAGGATAAGATATTTGCTGTTAGGAATCTGGAATTCAAATAGACCAGAAGAGGCATCAGTACTACTCCATTAACATTAATACTTGTACAGCAGCTATGATCTTGGTTTTTTAAAATGAGAGACACCTCCAGGCAGATTTTACAGAGTTCTGAAACCAGAAGAGCAATTAGCCCAGGGTCAACAGCCTGAATTATGACTCAGTCCAGGGACACCAGATCATAAATCAATATCTCTGATGAAAAGAACAAAGGCAGAATTAAGCAGGTTGTATACAGGCAAAGATCTAATGAGTAGCAATTGTGTCATAGCCTGAGTTTGAAGAGGAAAATAAATGAAGAACTCTGATGCAACAGCCCTGTGTTGATAATATTGCTATATCCTTCTGGGGGAAAAAAAAGTATTTTAAAAATTAACCTAGGACTGTGGTGTTTAATGCCTAGTAACTGTGAACCTTAAAGAT